CCTTCCTTCCTTCCTTCCTTCCTTCCTTCCTTCCTTCCTTCCTTCCTTCCTTCCTTCCTTTCTCAGCCCCCCCCCACCTCCTATTTTTGGCCCCTGCTAGCCTGCTGGGAGCAAAAACAGACACCACCCCACGTTTTTGGCCTAGGAGGCCTCAGGGAAGCCTGCTGGGAGCAAAAATGGACACACACACACACCCCCGGGGTTTTGGAGATCCTGTAGTAAAAAAAATGCTTAAAAAGTAAAAAAAAAAAAAAAAAAAAAGTTCCACAGCTCTGCTGTGCGACCAGCGATCGTCGGAATGTATTTTTTAAAAAAACTTTTTTTAGTATTTTTTACTACCTGTTCTCCGAACCAGGATTTAGGATCTGTTTGGGGCTCAGCTGGGGAGAACAGTCACTCCTTCCCAGGGGGGCCTCCCTCGGAGGGGTGCCTCCTCCCCTCCTATGGGGCACGGAAGAGACACACAACCCCGCAAAGAGCCCCAAGTCTTGGCTGTGCAGGCTTTGCTTCGGTTTTTCTGGAGGGGAGGATCAGGCACTTCTCTGTCTGGGGAGAAGTGGGGAGGGCTCTTCAGACGCCCAGACAGACAGACGGACAGGGCAGCCATCGGATAAAGGAAGATAAGGGTCTGTAGCTATGGAAACCCCCTCCCCTCCAGACTGTGCCCCTCTTCACTGCCCAGGGAGGAATATTTAATCAGGGAAAATCCCCCCCCCATCCACACCGCACATGAATGCATCTTTGGGGCGGGGGGTGGGGGGAATCATTCCTGGGAAATTGCAAGAGGCCCAGTCATGGAAAAACTGAAGTGGGAGAGGGGGGTCTGTTGTGGAGTGAAAAGCCACAGGAAAGGGAGGAAACACACAACCAGAGAGAGAGAGAAACACACACACATACGCACAGTTTTTCAGGGGTTTCTGTCCTTCTCTAAGGCAGTGTTACAAAGCTTGTGCACTGCAAGTACACCCTCCCCGGGAGAAACACCCACACACCCCCCAGCATCCAAGAAGGGGTAATCTGGCACCCCTTCGCCCCTCCCTTTTTAGCCCAAGGCTGGGGGCTCCCCTCTTTCAGTCCCCAGAAAGCCTCTTGGCCCCCTTTGCAAGCCCCTCCAGAGGGGTACACCCAGAGGGGGCATTCAGCTGGTGTCAAATGCCCTTAAAATGCCCTCATTGATTCATAAGTATCAAGTCAAGTTTTCAATACAAAACCAGGCATTCATTAGGAGCACCATTAGGCAAGATCTGTTCGCAGTCAAGCCTCTGCTTTGTTTGATTTATCTCTGAACTTTACCCCTGTTCCTTCCCTCCCCAGTCTGTGTCATAAATCCCATTACCCTACAAGGTGCACCCCTCCCAAACCGTCTGCAGTAATCTGAGAACTGACTCCAGCCGACAGTATGCATGGAATACACTCCCCTCCATTCTGGCCCCATGACAACAATGAGTGTTGACAGCCGGTTATCTCCAATTCGGGCGAACCGGTAGCGGCGGCTGTGGGAGTCTCCGCCCAGACGTGATGCGTGAGCACTGTGCATACACAGCGTGTGAGAGTGGAGCAACCAGGTGCATGTGCACGCTCACATTTGCGAACCGGTAGGGAAGGTAAGTGAATCCCACCGGTGGGTACATCCCTAGCTGCGACCCCCTGCCCCCCAACTCACCCAGGAGGCTCTTGAGAGCAGCCAGATTGTGTTCCCAAAGCTTGTTGAAAGTCCCCCAGCGGGAGTGACCGTCCGGGATGGGGTTGTTCTTGATCCAGCCACCGCAAGCATAGCTGAAGAAGTCCTCGCAGGGGTCCACCCCTTGGTCCAGCGAGCTCAGGATGGAGCTGGTCACCGAGATGCAGGCCTGGGTCAGGCAGGGCCCTGAGGGGAGGAAGAGGAGGCTGCTGTCACCGCAGGCGTGGGGCTGGGGGTGGGGGGGGAAGGCCCGCCCGAAGGGGACAGGCCTGGCTGACGAACAGACAGCAGGACTCACGTGTTTGGTACTGGAAGAGCAGGACAGACAGACAGGCTAACAGACCCAAGAAGAGGATAACCGTCAGGATCAGGAGGCGCTTCTCCGGCTGCGGCCGCTGCGCCCAGCAGCCCTTCCTGGCCCCTGGCCCGCGGAAGTTCACCTGGGAGAGAAGGAAGGAGGGAGACTCAGGCCCTCTGAGGCAGAGGAGCAGCGGCCCCCTCCGCGCAGAGGCCTGCGTGAGCCCTCCGTGTCGCCTTGCCAGCTGCGGTTTCCAGAGCCTCAAAAGAGACAGAAGGACGGCAAAGAACCTCCTCCCTA